CTGATACTGTCTTTCTTTTCCAGTTCTGCACAGTTGAAGCTAATGAAAACAGTTGGGGGAAATCAGAAAATTTCCAGTCCTCCCACTGTAGCTAATTATGCCAGTTGTGACAGAAGGGTAGATTGGCTTGTTGTCTTGCAGCCAGAAGCCTTCAGAGTAGTCGCTTAGAGAGTGCCGAGTGTGACAGATGACTGCTAAACATGTGACATCTGAAGGTTGGGTTGTGTCTTCCTTGAAATGGATGGTTTAAAACTGGTCTTAAACTTCTGCAGAAAGCTAAGTGAAAAGCTCTCAGCTTTCTTTTATTAGACATGAGAGTTACCTTCTTACTTCCAGCATTAGAAATGATAAAAATATGGAAGCTCTGTCTCTTTTGACACTCTCGAATGCATTTGTTGACAGCATCTGCAATACTGTTATTTTGCTTTCCCAGTCTCCCTTCAGAGTCCAACTTCTTGGTCTGGCTTTTGCTTTGACATCTGTTTCTCCATGCTGAAGGTGCTAATGCCACAATTCTAGTTTCTCTTTCCTTCTGCTTCTCTGCCTGTCTCTTCAGTGGGCTTCTGCAGTATATTCATTCGTTGCTGTCTCAGTGTTTGTGTTCTGGGTCCCTGTAGCTCCCACTCTTTACTTACCTCATTTGGTCAGTCACCTTAAATGCACTCTCCACACCTGCTTTTCTTAACCACGTAATGCATTGTCTTTGGTAACATTTGGGCTACAGCAGAGGGGTGTCTTGTAGTTACTTGTTGCTTTTTGAATGGCAAGCAGTGACATTAAAAGTCGTCTAAATAGCAGGCCAACTTTTTTTCTGGCTTTCCTGTGCAGTATCTGATGGCTTATTTATATCAGACCTACATATTGAAACAGTGTTGTTTCTCAAAATAGCATTGAAAACTCTTTGCAATTCCCATCAGTCTTCCCCCTCAGACTTGACAATATTTGGTGTCTTTGTTTTTGAGCCATAACTGCTGAAATTGTGTAAATTTGGTGTACCTTTTCTTTAAAAGCTTCTAGTTCTCATATTAGTATTTAAACTTTTCTTTTGAATTCTGAAGCTAAAATCTGACAGCTGAAGTTCATCATTAGTCTCCTGAAATGAAGCATGTAATGCTATGTGTGAGTACTGTCATACTCTGAATTTCAATCCATTCCATATTTCATGTGCTTGAGTCTGATAATGTGACTGCAAGTGTCTTGCAAGGCAACAGTCCTATTATGCTGTTCTTAGGTTTAAAGTAACATGTTTCCCTATCCCCCAACTTCCCTATCCCTTTGTGCAGGAAAGGGTTATATACTGCTGCTTCTGCATTTCTTAGCAGTAAACTATAACATCAGAAACCTCTTCAAGACTCTTTGATCCAAAAAGCATCTGTGCTTGGCTGAGCTTCTGAGTGATGTGTCCTTCAAAGAAGCTACTGCCCTCTTTCCTCATAAGATTTGGGAGAGGTATAAGAAATGGAGTTTTGCAGAACTTTCATTCTAGCAAAAAAACTGTGAACTCCTACCTCAGAATTTTTTTGGAAAGAATATTTCTGCGGGTCGAGATGCCAGGATCTTTTAAACCAGCATTTCGTTTGCTTTGAGTTGTAGTAAATGCAAAAATAAACAACCTGTAGCGATTACTTTCAGACTCTGGCAAGCAGATAAACTGACTGCTGGTATCCCGTTACGTGACAAAAAGCTAGCAGGAGGAATAATGGGTAGCTGTTTCACTGCAACCTGATGATGGAGAGTTTGAAAAGGTCTGAACACTGCTCCGTTTAGCTCTGAGGTCTCTATGAAATGTAGCGTCCTTTGCTTTCATTGTCACGACCCCATCAGATCTCTGCTCCAATTGCTTGTACACTTATGCAATGGCTGTTGTTGTTGTAGTAGAATAATGCTTTGAGATGATGTGTGTGCTGCAGTCTTACTGTACCAGCACTGAAATGTTTCAGGGACAAAACAAAATCCAGTGTTCTCTTTGGGAGAGGTGCATTTACTATCCTTCAGGATATTCTTGCCACAAAGAGCTGGTTTGTGCCAGTAAGAGACTGGGAACAAGTATTTTTTTTCTTTCAGTAGCCCTGGCATTTAGGAAATAATGTTCATAATTCTGTGTCTGTTCTGAAAAGGCATCGTTGAAGGGCTCTGAAAAAAATAGGCCATCAGGCTGGCTGTTTGCATTATCAGCCTGAATAACCAGAAGAATTGAATTACTTACATGACACTGAGGAAGCACTGAACTCTGTGTGGTGCTTGCCTTAGGGATAATTTGGGATTCTGCATGCAAATATTACCTGCTGGTCAGCTAAAACCTGAGATCAACTGGAGTCTTAAACGTGTCTTATAGGAAAGTCTTAGTTCGGTTGCTCTCTTGATGATTAGTCTCCTGTCTTTCATGGAGGTACAGTGGAATGTAGAGCCAAAACCAGATTCACATCTCTAATAAATGAGGTCTATGCACTTGCTGGGTGGCAGTTTTGGATAGGAGGCCTAGAGAGTTTTGTAGATGTGCTGGAGACAGGTTTGAGTCCTGCTTTTGCAGCTCGTCCATATTTGTGTCCTCTGTGGGTGTCAGCCTTCGCCCACCCCATGCTAGAGTTGAGTCCTTGCAGTTGAGTGAATGACCCTGCAAGCCAATTTGACTGGAAGAGTGCTGGGAGAATAGATATATTGGATGCACTTAGCTAATATGGCAACAGTGGATCAAATCTGTAGGCTGCTGTATTGAGAAGGAAAGTAAGAGCATGCTCGATATAGTAGCCAGCTGTTGTCCCATTTCAGTGTGTGTCAATACTCTTATGGGCTGCTTGTTTATTAGCACTTCTGGAGCCATTTGTGTCATGGTGTGGCACAGACTAGAAAATGGAAGCTGAGCCAGTGATTCCCTTCCCCCTTGCATTGTCTTGCCAATGAATTTAAGTATGGTAGTGCTGTATGGGTGGTCTATTGTCTGTTACTGCCCTGTCAGAAAGGTGAAATGGTTTGGGATAATTGCTAAATGTCACTCTATAACTGGGTTATCCAGCTTGGAGCTTTGGTGCCTTCTGTTCCAGGTTGGTCAGTATAGTTCAGATGTGAACATAACTGGACAAGAAGTGCTGTTCACACTTTCCCAGGGAGGCTGGAAATATATTAGAAGTTATTGTAGAAGTCTTATTCACCATTTTTACCTTAAGCATGGTAGCAACTTATGACTTAAAAAAAATATAAATCTAATTTTAGTGAGCATGTTTTTTTCTTGAGTGCCCTGTAAGGTCATCTAGCTCCCTTAGGGGTTCAGATAAAAGCAATGAGAAAGATCAAAGCTGGAAAAGCTCAAAGCAGCATTGTTTCCAACACTGAACCAGGTTGGCTGCAGCTCTGGTTGGTCTTGAAAATCTCCAAGGATGGAGATTGCATAGTCTCAAACTGACCTGTTCCAGAGCTGCTTCGCTCTCCTGGCACACGTACTCCTAGCACAAGGAACAGGTTGTTTTGGAGAGAGAGGGGTCATGCCCTGGACTGCCAGTGAAATGTTCTACTGTGCATGGGCTGGGATGAACCCCATTCCCAAGGGATGCACAGTGGAACCCCTTCCCAGTGAGCTCTGTGTCAGTTAAAATTGCTTCGTGCCTCCTCTGTCTGAATGCTTTTGCCACCTTAGTTACTTATGGAACTTGTGTATCTGCTGAAAAGGTTTTCAAAATTAACCAGTGAGCTCAGCAAAAGGAAGAAACTGTTCAGGAGGTGAGCTGTGACCCTTGGGCTTATCAGTAGAGTCTGGCTTTGTGTGCTCTTTCCTTGCTATAGCACAGCCTGAGGAGATCATCCATCCACACTCCATTGTGTGTGGTTCATGTTTGCCTTGTGCCCAGGCTCCAAGACACAAAGAAGCCCAACAAAATGCAAGCAAGTTACAAGTTTCTGAAATAACAAAAGCTGCAATTAAGACTTCAGTTTGAACATGATAATGGTGCCACACTGTCATGTGTCATTGTCGGGGTGAATGACACGGGAAAGTACAAAGCCATTTGAGAGAGGGTTGGAGATCTGTCTGGCACAGAGGAGGGAAGTTGGTGCAGCCTGGCACAGTGTTACATGCGTGGGCCAATCTTGGGAGCAAACTGTCCTGCCTGCTTCACTTGGATTTTCTTGAGAGAAGTCACTGCATTGCTGCCAGGTTTTCCTTCTGGAGAGAGCTAAGCTACCCTTTCTGCTTGGTTGCTGGTGGGGGACTGGGGCTGGGAGTGAAACAAGAAGCTACTTAAACACGATGTAGCTGCTGGTGTGGTATAAAGGGTCTATACATAAAGCATAAGCTGTGTTTCTGTAATGATTATTTGAGCAGTGGAGCTGCCATGTCTTAACCCTGGCTTATATTACTTAGTGTCATTTAGGTGCTGCTTTGTTTCACTGTCTTTTATAGCATTTATCTTTTACTTAATGTACTTTCCTTTTCATGAGGGCCACCGTTTGATGGGGTTGATTTAGTACTGAACACAGTGGGAATCAGATTGCTGATTAGAACTTGTAGATACAGCAGTGAAAAAAATGGAACTTAGAGCAACACATTGTAATATTTTTCTTTGATGCTGTTTCAGTTTAGGGAATTGATATCTGGGAACTTGATCAGCCTCCATGACCTACACTTGGATACTTAGCCTGCTGTTTGTTGATTTATCCTATATGAGAGCCATCTCTTCATCCTTTTTTGCCCTAATTTTCCTCAAGCTGGAAATGAGAGGGTGATATGGTATTGTAGGTGTTTCTGAAGGCTCTATTTAAGTACCAGAGAGTTAATGCAGTGGTGGCTGTCACGTGCATCTTTAACATAAATGCATCGATACAGCTGATGAAGGGAGACATTTTCAACCTCTCTTGATCTGCAAACTTTGTGCCTCTCAAGCCCTTAAGAAAAGAAGAAGTTTTAATACATAACTGAGCTGAGATCACCTGTGTAATTATGAATTTTACATTCCTGTCAATATATGAAGTTTAAATAATTAATTACGAATGTTGCTTTGTCTTTTCAGTACATCAATTGTGGTAACCTGGAACAGCTCTTAGACAGTAACCAGCATCTGCCCTGGACAGTGAGGGTGAAACTGGCTTATGACATTGCTATGGGGGTCAGTTATCTTCACTATAAAGGCATTTTCCACCGAGACCTTACATCCAAGGTACCGTTTATAAACTTAAGAGAACTTTTTAATGGAGGTACTGTAAGTGATTGTTGGGGTTTTTTCCTCCTAAGACATTTTGAGAAATAAATTGAAACACAGTTTATAGAATTGAAACTTTCCTCAGAACATGTTCATAGTTTGTATGGGAACTAGAGAAATTACTATCCTAAAGGAAGGTCATTCCTTAAATGAGTTCAGCTTGGGATTTCTCAGAAAGCAGCTGCAGAGTTTTTTAGTTCCGAATTGTGGTTCAGTAAAGTATTTAAATCCCTGGATAATTAAGCACAGCAACCTAACATTTGGAACAGGTTAATCATATAAAGAACCCAATTGAGAAGATTATGACAAATGCACTTTAAAATCTCCTTGTTGTTTTTGTTTCCCTGTGTATTTCACAAATCTTCTGTAGGAAGAATGACCTTTCATTACTAATTCTGTGTTAAGTGTTTCTCTCACTTCTAAAGTCAGTAAGATCAAAAGAGTTTGCCTAAAATGTTCAAATTTCAGAGTTTCTTCCAGAATGATATTTCAGTGGCAGAGTTTTCAATGGACAAAGATGTGTTTTTTTAATTGCTTTAGTGACAACTTGTATGAATTTATTTGGCTGAAGTAGCCAGCTAATTCAAGCTCGGCAAGAAATATTGACATAGGAGCACTAAGCTCTGTGAACAGATTGTCCCAGTATTCACACTGGGTCTTAGCATACATTGCAGCCTGTTGTGAGGGCTTTGCTGTCCTGTCTGTCCTGTTGTCTGGAGCTAATGAGCTGGTTTAAGCTCACTGGGGACCTGCAATATGACAGAAGTTCTTGAGAAGACTTCATAATGCACTTCAGTCAAAAGCATCCAGAAGAATATTATCTGAGTCTAAAAGGAACTGGTTTTTAAGATTAAAAACAGCTTTTAAAAACCACAACACAGTGTGTTTGCAAATGCGAATGACTACTAGTTCTCCATCCAGTTTTCATTTTTTTTTTAACATTACCTCAGTGCAGTGTTAAACAGATGTAGAGTGTGCATTTAGCCAAAGTGGGGAAAAAAAGTTGAACTGTGGTGATGAAAGAAGTATTTCAGTGAAGTCATAAAATACTTCCTTGGCTGTTCTTTCAAGAGAGAGGGGCTGAATTCTGCCAAGAAGAATATCAAATTTATGAAAAATGCCCATACTTGGAGTCACATCACTTTGACATGATACGCTCCGAAAGCTTCATTTCAGTCACCTTGGAGTGTGCAGAGAAGAGATGCATAAAGATATCTGAAAAGATAACTTGGTGTTCCCCTTTCTTTTTCAGCTCAGGAGGTATTTTAGTACATTTAAGAGTAGAGTTCCTGCAAGGAGCCAAAGTGCCTAAGGAGAACTTTGTGCCTGCAGCATTTATCATAACACATACTGTGATAGCTAGTCATATGAAAATCCCATTTCCTGGGATCCCTGTGAATGCCTTTGTTCCCAGCTTTACATAACTGTATGCCCTTCTCTGGAGCTGCCCTACCAGTGCTTCAGTGTTATCTATTGTTGAATGCCAATTGTTTGGAAAGTGCACCCGCTGGGAGGGGTTTGTGATGTCCCAGCAACAGCAAACTCATCGGAGGCCACAGGAAGCAGTGAGGTTATTTAAAAACAAATGAACCACATATCAAACCCTAAGAATTTATTAGCAGTTATGCTATATTTGGATTGTTCTTAGCACTAAAGTTGTAGTATCTCTGCGGGTCACATTGGAACCTGTCAGGATAAAAGTCTAAGTCATCAGCTAAGAAACTTTCAAATTTCTTGGGCATTTTGGGTTGTTTTCTGTTTGTTTGGGTTTTTTTAAATTTACTTTTAAAAGTGTTTTTTATGTGATGTATGTACTTTCCTTGTTCTGTTTGGGAAGGGAAGTAGATGAAACACCAGGCCTTAAACACCCACCTTAAACAACTTGTGAATTTTATTAGTGTGTTATTGTATTGATGAAATATACTTTAAATCTATTGGACAAATTACTCTCCTTTTGAATCGTAAAGAAGTCACTTTGTTCCAAAGCAAAAAAATTAAGATAACCATAGGAAAAACCTGTCACCAAAATTTTCAGTGCTCAGACTGTGGCCTTTGGCTACTGCTTGAGGACATGCCTTGTCTTTTACCAGGTTTGTATTGGTGGTAGGATGGGTCATCTTCATTCCTACCAGTAAACAGTTGGTGTGTGAACAAGCTGAAGGAAAATGTGATGGACTCTTTCCTTGGGAGAGAACTTCTGATCTGGATTGAACAAGGGCAGATTCAATACTGTTCTATAATATACCTTTCTTTGGTAAACTTCAGTAATTGATGTGATGCTTTAGTGTTCAAATGAAAGCAAAGACAAGGATTTAGACCTGCAAAAGTCAGAACAGTGAGCTTGCAGGGTGAGAGAGTGGAGTATTTTTCTAGAAAAATTCTTGGCCTTGACTGAACTGTGAACAGAATGAAACTGAGACTTTCTGTGCAATAATGTCTCCGTGCTTTAACTGTTACCCTTAAGACAATAACCCACAGCAAACTGTCCCTGTAATATGAATTTTACTATTAAAATTACTTGGATTAATTTAGACCTGTACTTCTGCCTTTTTTTTTCTGGAAAATCTCTGATTCCTGGAGCTTCCTGGAGCAGATGGTGTGATACATAAATTTTACTATGTCAGTTATGTCAGCAGAATTGTCTTACTCTTAGTGTTATATGTGCCTATGTATTTGCATAGCATTTTAAAGAAAAAGTTCCTATCCCCTGCCAATCTGAGATCGAAAAATAAGTGGGTTGGGCCATTAGTCTACAGCAGGGTGATCTCTCTTCCTAATGGCACCATGTGGAGAGTAGCAGAACAGCATTGATACTGCAGGAGGCCAGAGGGAAGAATGGTAGAGAAGAGTAGATGTAGGTCATTATAGTTAATGCGACAGCCCACGGGGATGTCAGCCCTGACATCCCACCGGTGCCCTTCCCGATGCCCTTCTGTCAAAGAGAGAGGCAGTGCTTGTGAGAAGAGTGTGCTGCCCAGACAGCTGGTACTCACCCGTGTCGTGAGCAGCTCCGTGCTTGGGCTGCTGGAGCTGATCAGGCTGATCTGCCCTGGTTGGTAGTGACAGCCTGGCTTGAATCTGTCAGAAAGTACAAGTGGTCAGACTGGCCTTTTCCAGCCTGCAGAGAGTAGGGGGGTGGGCAGGGCGACTCGTACGCTTTGTAAGCCAAGAAATGTGCTGTCCCCACTTCTGACTTGTCATAAAAAGATTTACGCAGAGATTAAGCCATAGATGGGTTCTGACAGCCTGCCTCATTGGCTCATTCCCTGTCCCCTGTCCATAGCAAACCCTGTGAATTGTTCTTTATTTGGGGCTCGTTGTATGTATTGGCATCCTGGAATCATGAGGATTTTCTTCATCTTTCAGCGATTGTCAAGAAGGTCTGGTTATGAATTTTAACTCTGAAAGTCTTAGTTACAGAAAGTGCAATCATTAAAACAGAAATCATACTGTGAAACACTGAAAGTGTTTCAATAGAAGCCACTGAATTGTGATATAATTTTTCCTTAATCTGACTTGGTTTTTCAATATTCTGGCTGTTGTAATGTAGAATTAAAATAGCAATGTTTGGGACAGGGCAGGGAAGAAGTGTCCAGCCTGCAAAAAGAATATGGCAATCTTTTTGTACCTCACCCCTCAAAACAAATATCTTACTATTACACAGTGAGTTTCTTCAACACCTTGTTTACACTGTATTTGCACTGCATTCAGACCCTGTTCTAGAAGCGCTGTTGATTTCCTTGGCAGCTCACACCAGTGACTGCCCTAATACCAGTGAACTTATTCTTACAGTACCTCTGAGATGAGGGAGATGAGTAAACTCAGCCTTATTATGACAGACTAAAAGCAAGAATACTGGTGAATGTTGTGTATGTGTTTTAAGACTTTTGTCTTTTGTTTGGAGTGTTTGGCATTTTACGTGCTTAAGTTCAAAGCAATATGCTCACTGATCTTAGAGACAGTTAGAAACATTACAGCACTTATAAAATAGTCAGATTTGACCCCTGGAAGCAGAGAATGTTACTAATCTTGTGTACCCTCTGAAAAATTGTGTTAAAGTAGCTTCCTTGTCACAGACTTCTCCTGTGATGCTGAGGAAGGCCAGAGTCCAGATCCCGGGGCAACACTGCAGTAGTCTTACCCACAAGACAGAAGAGCTTCATTTGCAGCCCAGGCTTTCTTTTTCATCTCTTCCCAGCCTTTCTGTCACCCTGCTGTTTATGTGGGAAGAGCGGCCAGGGTCCTGAAAATAGTGGTCCAAGTGTTTTATGTACAGCCCCAATTCACCATCAGCGTGAATCCATTGTGTGCACTAAAACACGTGGATGCCAGGTGGAAAACTGTGTGATCGTGTAATTAAGGATATTACCTTAATGTGTATGCATAAGGGGAAGAAGGAAAGTTGTTACAGGAAGTTTTACATCCCGTCTTTTTTGCAATATTATTATTTTGATCCAGAGTTTTTGTATGCAACTTCCTACCAGTTTTAGAAACAATGGAAGAAAGTGACATGATGCACTTTACCTTAGGGTTGGAAACCATGATATTCATGGTGAAGGTGTTTGTTGCTTCATGAAGTAACATGAAATATTTTTAATTTGTATTTGCTACTACTGTTAATTAATATTACTAAAACACATTGCATGTTTTTGGTGTGGAAGAGGACTAGAGAGAGGGACAGGAGAGATGCCTTGGCAGTGAGAAGTGAACATCTCGGAGTCTACCCATTTTTCCAAGACTGATCATACCTACTCTTACTACTCAATCCTTTCTTCTGGTGTACAATGCCAGTCTCTGGTTAGGCTTTTCATCCTTGTTCATAGGCTTTTTCTTTTCTTTTTACTCCCAGTTCCTGCCCACCAACCTTATTGATCAATCTCCTTGTCTGGCTGACTGCATTTACCCTCTTCCTGTTGCTCCCCCTTGATGCTTTATCCAAGCAATCTTTGTGTTCTGGT